CGCGCGGGAGCGCGTCGCTCCCTACCATCTTACAGTGGCCCAGCGGCCAGAGAGGCACCCTCCTGCTCCTATTGTCGAGCACCTGATCACCGGGTAACATCGTGCCCGAAATTATTAAGTAAGCCGGTTCCGGCGAGGCGAACTATCGCCAAGGAGCGCCGCTGGTGCTACTCATGTTTGGAAGGGCACCTCCAGCGAGACTGTCCGCACCGGCGGCCCTATCTGCATTGCCAGGGCAACCACCATGCAGTTTTGCGCCTGGGTGCGAATGGCGTCTCTTCTCGGGGCTCTGCCAGGCCCTCAACCCCCACGGGCGGGGGCGCTCAGCCTCGCCCTCTGACGGGCGACTCACGGCGCCCGCCGTCCAGCCACCAGGCCCTTAGGTTTGAAAGGGATCCCTCCCCCGACCAGTCGGAGGGTAATTCCCCCAGGGGCGGGGGTGACACCCCCCTCAGCGTGTGGAGAGGAACTTCACAGCCACTCATCAGTCCGCTAGACCCTTCTCACTCCCGTTAGCTGAGTGGCCGCGACTGGTGTACCACCGTTCCCCATTTGATGGAGGCGGCCCTAACTAGCTGCCGCCTTAGCTCACACCACGGCCGCCTCCACTGAGCCTTGAGCCGTCAACAGTCCCCTTGTCAAACTGTTCTGTTGCCGACGGCCTGAAGGCGTACAACCCGAGTGGTGACTGTTAGCGGTTTGCGCTCTATTGGTCTCGGGTTCACGCGGTGTGGCCTCGACTTGGTGGTGGGAAGATTAGGGCCCCCCTGGAGCGTTGAATCGCGCTGTCAAGGGGTATTAGATTTGGTTTTGGTCGAGTACTTAATTAACGACGCTTTAAATTAAAAATAAAAATGCTTTTGGGTTTACCGCGAAAATTTTCGTATTTGTAGCGGTTGTGATTAAAAGGTTGAATTTAATATGCTCCTTTAAATGCTGCTGCGTATGTTTTGCAAATATATTTGATCACTGTGTTTGTTGTTGCACGGAAAATGAAATTGAATGCTTGTGCGTATGTTTTGTAATTGTATTTGCTCATTGCGTCTGTTTTGCTGAAAGGAAAATTTGAATTCATTTGAGGTTGAATGGCGCGCTGTTTGGATATTGGTGTATGTGTTGTGATTGTGTTTAATCATTTTGCTTGTGAAAGGGAAGGCTGAAATTGGATAACCCTATTTGTGCCTAAGGGAATAAGAGTCACTTCTCTTTTGGTTTACATTTTGTTGGCACTTTGTAGGATATTTAAATGAGAAGTAGGGCTATCCCTTACGTTTATTGTTTTGTTTAATTTGCAAGTTGACCTATGTGCATCGGTGATTAATTTGTTTGAATTAATTCTATAGTTGGACATTGATGCTTTTGAAAAATTAGTTGAAATATGAGCATAGGACTACCTGTCTAAAGGGCTAGCCAGTTTGTAGATTATCAGATGGAAATCAGCTGTCGCACCATTTGGTAAATGATTATATGGTGGATGGCTTGGTTATGCCTACTTGTTGAAAATTCATACTAGGGACTATCTGTACGTTTCGTTCGGCTCTCCACAGACGACGTTCATGGGGAATTTGGGGGTGCTCTCTGCACTGAAGCTTAAGAGGCCACTCTGGGCCGCTTCGTGTCGCGTCGCTGTTTGCAGACCTGATCCGGTCGGATTGCGGAACTAATCATAGGGGCACAGATAGGTGTTTGAAGGAGGTCGTCGGACTTCTGTCTCGGAATAGGACTTATTTATGTGCTGCGATGTCCAGGAAGGGTATCCAGGTCAACCCTCCGATTTCCCGCGTTGGGGCTGTAATTCTGAGGCGTGGGTTAGGATTGCAAGATATGATGGGGTGCCTAAGGTGGCCTAGTTTGGTTGTAGGTTCGGTCTTGCAACTTGCCGTCGCGACCCTGTCCCGCTGACCGGTTTTCTCGCGGACCTAAATCCTTATGTCCGGGACGGGGGTTTGTTCACGCCCGAACGCTGGTTTCGGAATTTTACGACAGAGGGCGCTCGGCTCGGCGCCATACCGGTTTTGACGTTCGGCCGAGCGGTGTGGCGAGGGCGCGCGAGCGCAGGAGTCGTTTGCCAGCTGTGCTTGGGACAGCACGCTGTCATTTTTTTTTGTGCGGGAACGCGGAATAATTTAGGCGCGTCTAGTAAATATACTGTCTAGCATTCGTATCGCGCATTCCTTGTTTGAGAACTTTTCCCGGGACTTTTTGTGTCTAACTCAGAATCTGTATAAGGGTATTCGACAATATTAGCTACTACTGCGGCATTTGATATTCTAGAAATAATTGTTGCCACGCGAAACGGTATGAATTTTGATCCGGACATTCGTGTTCGTGCGGTGTTACGTTTTTGCTTATAGTAACGGGATTTCGTATAGACCGACATTCTGTATTTGTGTTGGGTGTTACGCTTTATAACAAATTAGAGTTAGTGGCTTCTGGAAGTTAGATAATTGTACGATAAAGTTAAGGACTGTCCTCGTGACGAACGAAGGAAGTGACTGTGGACGACTCCGCGGAAGATTACCACAATTTGGAGCGGGGCTGAAGTCCGAGCTGCTGCCGATGGCAACGGTCTCATAAGGTCTACCACACTCAGTCACACACAGATACACATCACTGACCCTTACTTCCCATGCACCATACAACCACATGCGACCTGACCGAACCCTGAGGTACCAGTCGCCTTGGATATAGGTAAGTAAGCTCGGTTTTAATATTCTCCCTGTTGAATGGCAGTAGGATAGAACGCTTCCCCTTATTGTTTATTGTAATTAGGAAATTCCACGCGGCCATATTGAGGCCCGACCTACGTCTGTTCGTTGAAACTCCGCTGACGGGCCCCGGAGGACTGAACCTTTGTGGGAGCAGCCGTAGGCCGTAACAGCCTAATTTACAATTTTTTTCTAACCTATAGAATGCAGTCCTAGTATTGCAACTATCTTTTCGTAAAGTTTCATCACAATCGGTTCACATTTCAGACACATGACAGACAAAAATGTTAAAAATAGTTATTCATATCTTAATGACATGCAAATAAGCATGACTTCAATAAAAGGAAGGACATTTCAATTTTTATAACGAATTAATCATCTTTAGATATCCTTTTTCAGTCTAGATTTACGATACTAAAATTCCTACTTTGCGTGACTTTGCTTTATGCATTGCTTTAATCATCACGCTTGGCAGGCGGATTGGTGATAGCATTCATACCAGACGTCTCGCACCTTTGATGCCGATCCCGTCACCAGTCTGGATATTTTACTCCTGGCGTCAACCAGATGTTTATACCGTCTACTATCAAAACTACTATCGAACGTGGTAGAGCCATGCTGCAGCTATATTAATAGTATAGTTGTAGCACGAATGGGTCGGCTCGACTGGGGAAGCACCACGCTCTCACAGAATACCAGCGTAAAATGGCAGCTTAATGCTGCTGTGATTCGTATGGTGTAGTGAGTGTAGAGTACCGGAGACCCATTTTACTGGAAAGAGGCATTGTTAGTCCTCACGGCTGACAACGCATCTGCATTTTAATTCACAACCGAAAATAGATGCAGATGTCTATGGGCCACAGCAACCGCTTACCATAAGGTGGACTGTGTGCTCGTTTGTTACCCTAATTCTATAAAAAAAATAACATTATTCTGGCATATATCATAGTCTCCTCTTACGACACCCACCGGACGAAGGCCTGGTATTGGATTCATTTACGCCGACGCCACACAGCTATATGAACATAAAGGCATTATATTCGTATCTTAATAAAACCTATTTCAGTAAAAGTTCTCAGTTGAAAAGTCCGTTCATAGATATTATACAAATGAAATTATTTTTTAAGCATACTTAGTTCTATAAAACTCTCACCCATTTCATAATGAGACATTACAAAACTCTAATAAACTAATAAACTCAAATCTATACAATACTATTCTCTTGCCTTGAACATTTGTATCCCAGATTGTAATCGTACGGACCGACAGACGCCAGCAAATTATTCCATTCCTTTGCCGTATAATAAATGAAAAATGTAATAGGAATTAAATGTTATAAAACTATTTAATACTTTTTTTACTATTTTTTTTAAATATTGTTATTGTGATAGTGATTGAGAATTACATTATAAGATTTGATATTAATAATTGGAATATATTTTATCAAATCATTCAAAATTATTGAATAATTTTTAACTGTGAAAAGATCATTGAAGGAAAACGTCTTTTTCGACGTAGTGGAGAAATTCAGTTCGGTATTAAAACTATAAAAACGTCACGTTTTCTTGTAACGTTTCACCGCCGGGGCTGCATGAATATACTACTATTTAACCTACTTATGTAAAATATAAAATAAAAGAAGAATGATACGTCGTAAAGAAGTTTCACTTCGTACTTATATACACAATTACACGCACAGTTTCTTTTGTTATCAAATCGTCCTATTTTTTAAATTATTTAAATAGGTTAACTATGATAAGTTTAACCACTTGAGGTAACATTTGATTGCGGTGATAAATTGGTGCCCACGCCTGTATTTTATTTCAAACTGATAAGAGAAACCAGTAACAGGAAATAATAATATTATGATTTAAAAAACAATGGTTTGTTTAGTATTTATATACTCATAAAACTATACTTTCCTTTAGTAACTAATTTCATTCAAAGTACTGTGACAGTGCTAACCAGTGAACATTTTAATAGTTAATAATATAGGTATATTTTATTTAGTATTTAATAATTTAACGAACAGTAGAAGTTCTAATTATTTTAATTAAACATACACGAAATACCTTACTCTTTCATTTAATTATTTTGGTTGATTAAAAAATATTCAAAAGAATTTTCGTTTTATAAAAAAAAATACTACCTAACAAAATTTAGAAATTATTAAGTTAATTGAATTCGTACATTTCAAAAACTGATCACACAATTTAATAAATCAGTGATATTTGAAATAAAAAATTTATATTTGTTATTGTGTTTGTTTCAAGGTAGTTTGGCTAGTTCAACATGCCAAGTTTCGGCGAATGGAAGTACGCGGCACCACCAAATTATGATCGAAACGTCAATAAAATTTATCCGTACTCTGAGGTGCCTTTCTTAGGGGAATATAACCTTGTTAAAATTCCAGTATCATCTTACAAATTGGTAGATCACATCGATTATTGGGGCGAAGGAAGAATAGTAGTAACTGCTGGATGCAGTGGTTTTACTGATTGTTACAATATTAATCATGTCCACCAAGTAGTCAGCAATGGTCCTGATGCTGACAGGAAAATACCAAACAGAATTCCAGTTGTCAGCTATACAAACTGTGACACTAGTAGTTACATAAAAAACAACTCTGTTGAACTAATCACCGTTATGGGTGCTCCAATTAACACCAGTTGTGCTGAAGATATTGGAAGAATAATTAATAACGATGTTGGTAAAGTAGTAGTTTTTGGTTTCGAAGAGGCCTCAGCGTACATCAAAAATCTGGAAAATGAATTGACAAAGAAGGCTTTACTTTACTGCGAAGACTTTAGTTTACCCAGTAAGCTACTAGATTTAACTTTGTTTGATAATCATAGAGCTTATCTGAATTTAACGGATATGAGCGACTATTTATATAAAAATATTGTGGACAAAAACTATGAAAAAGCTGTATGTAAAAGCAAGTTACTCCAGGATAGTAACAATGGCAGTATCATCTCTGACACAGTTGGTAAACTACTCAAAGAAGGACAACAAAATATTTGGAGTTATGCCTACAAACTATGGAATTCGAATGCTAAATCTCTGATTACAAACTATTTTCCTCAACAGTTTCAGGCAATTTTTAATGGAGATTATGTTATGATTGTCAATAAATCTTGCAATGAAATTAGATGCTAACACAGATTCGTATAACGATAGGCTTGCTTGGGGAGATAGTACAGATAAAACAAGTAATAGAGTTATTTGGAAATTTATTCCTGTATGGCAAAATAATTCTGTAACATTCAAGATTATCAATGTCGAACATGGAATGTTTTTAAAGCTAGATGCTAACACTGATAGCATAGGAGATCGAAAAGCGTGGGGTGATAATAACTCGAATGAAGAACGATTTGAGTGGACTTTAGAGCCAGTTATGAATAATTATGAGTTAATATTTTTAATTATTAATAAACATTATAACCAAGGGCTCAAATTAGATACAAATGTTGACGAATATGGTGATAGACTTGTATGGGGACATAACGGTTCTCTTTCTAACGATCCTAATTATTTTGGATGGTATATTAAATATTGGCGGTCTTCTTAAATGTTGCAACTTAACTTACAGATATATAAATATTTTTGATAACGTTATTTTTTTAAATAATTTCTTATATTAGTCCTTAATTGAATGGGTTCGTCAAAATTTTACAATACGAATGCGAAATATGCATAATATTGCTACTCTGAAGAAATTAGTGTCATATAATATATTTACTAACGACGAAGCGTATTAGTTACGCGCCAAAGTCGGTTGTTAATTAGTATAGTAACACTTATATTTAAGTAAACACGTTGTTATAAATGAAAGAAATTTTCACTCAGGGATTTAATAGAGAATGCTTGGCGAAACTTTGTGATAGCAGTTATGAGAAAAAATAAATCGTCCGTCATCATTCATTATTATTGTTAAATAGGTAATTCATCTTTGGTCTCAGTAGTTTACATAAAATTCTTATGAGTTGCGGATAGCACAATATTTAGTATATTCTTAAAATATGTCTTCATTACTGCCGTTTCTCGTTTACTACTGCTGTTTATGTATAATTCACGAAAATAAAATTATAAAAGAAATTAATGTGTTTGGTTGTTTTCTTTTCTATTTATCGAATTCATTTGCTAGGCTCTAGTAATTAACCGGAAATTTTTCAAAAATATTATTTCAAAGACACGTAATGAAGCGTAAATGTAGCCTTAGGTTTATGTTGGATTTAATGGTCTAATACGGTAGAAATTTATGAGTGGCATACGTAATATTAGTATTACAATAAGGTATAACACAAATACTCACTCGTCCTAACCTACCCTTCTTAGTCTCCTGAACGCTGCCCAGACCAGTTGGATCTGTCGATTGACCTCTTGGTCGAAGTTGGACTTACTTAATCGAACGATTTGTCCTAGATAAACATACGAGAGTTCCGAATACCTATCGGCAAAGGTGTGACATGGACATTACCAATGATCTTTGTCTTGTCCATGTTTATTTGATGACCTATCCGTCGGGAGACACTATTGGGGTTATTGAGCGTAGTTCTGAAGTCCATCTCCAGCGATTCCGCTATAATGACTATACCGTTAGCAAATCGGAGGTGTGTGTTATACTCGCCCTTGATTTTAACTTTCCATTCCAGTAGCTAAAATATGTTCTAATGCAACAATGAAAATTTTCGGGGATATGAAATCAATCTGTCATATACCTTTCTGGAGTTGGGATGTTTCGTACTGTGGTTCTGTACGTGAATAGCTATCGTAGCCCTACTATGCAATCAATGTATGTCTCCCCCATTCCACTCACGTGTTTTTGGAACCTCCTCATCGGAGTGTGCCGAGGTTGGTGCGTAAACCTATATGACCTTCAATGAATTCAATTCTGAGTTTAAGGTACCTAACCTTCTTCGACAGACTCCCGATCTTTACTACGTTGTTAATACATAGGATAAACTGAAAATTCTGCGCTCCTGGCCGCTTATAAATGTTTGAATTCTGATTAATGATTAATATTTACATGAATTCACATTCAATAAAACTATTTTAATGGATTTTATCGCGTTTAATTTACTTATTTTTTATTCCGACGTTTCAGGTGCTTTACAGCACCCATTGTCAGGAGGGGGCTGAGATGTTTGAGGCCGCGATGTCATGCCTAGTTCGGCTACCTTCTTCGGTGTTCTTTTGCGAGTACTTTTGTGGTCTATCAAATCTGATATAATAGCGGGGATGGTCTTGAATATGTTCACAAATTGCAGACTTCCCAGAGCATCGGTTCTTCACGTTCGCTGTAAACTTCACAAATTTCAAAAATGGTTTGTAAGAATAAAAAAGTGTTTAAAATGTAATGGATAATATTTTAAAAATCAGTAAATATATTAGTTTACATATGAATTGTTTTATTTACGGATCTCAGATTATTCTATAACATCCTGTTCGAATTGTCCATCGCTTCTTTTAGAATCTTCTCATCAATCCACAGGCTGATTTTTTTACAAAGCTCAAGTTGCAAATATACTTACAGTTCAGCTGATGATTGGTGGCTACTGTAGTCCTTGGATACCTGCAGCCAATTTCAATATAAGTAGGTAACAGATGCGTTTCCACCTCTGAAGACTAAGAGGATATGTCTCATAACCTGTAATAATACTGGCTCTCTATACCCTTCGGACTCGAACACAACAGTACAAATAATGGAAGTGTAAGAAATAACATTGCCAGGTCAAAATAACAACCAAATCTCCACCGGAGATTCTTAGCCGCCACCATGGCCATTTAATATATAAGGTTCTCAAGTGACAGCTTTGTACCAGTAAGAGAACTTAATCACATAATTGATGATGTATACAGGTATGACTTGACTAGAGTGGACTGCCTTGTCGTCGAACAACGCTGTCGTAAGCGATGTTGACTGTTGATCATGTGGTTGTGGGTTCGAATATAGGGTTGGGCCAGTATCAGTTATCGGGTTTCACTGTCAAGAAATTCTCAGTAGCAACCTAGGAAAGCTCATAAACACGTTGTTCCTTCGCCTGATCTTTCTCCGGTCGTGTCTGATTGCTGTGCTTACTTGCACATACTCGTGCACTAAAATGCTGTCTTGCGCAGATGGCTAGTCTCCGTTGGTACTGGCCGCCGTAACTCATAATTTGATCTGAAGGACATTAAGAACTTAATCCGCATGGATCAAATTCGAGCGACATTAACTCATATTATATTTTATGAAGTTCTGTCATCGATGAACATATTATACTTTTTTAAATTTAAAAATTTTGACAATTTTATGACTTAGTGGTCAGGGACCGTACTATAAAACAGCGTGTTCTTGACTCGATGTTTTTTTTATAGTATAAGGTGACAAACGAGCACACAGTCCACCTGATGGTAAGTGGTTGCTGTGGCTCATAGATATATACATCTATCCTCGTTTACGAATCAAAATGCAGATGCGTTGTCACCCGTGAGGAATAAGATGGAATGCCTCTTTTCCAGGAAAAAGGGTCTCCGGTTCTCTACACTCCCCATGCGAAACATGGAAACATTAAGCAGCAGCACAGCAGTGTTAAGCTGCTATTTGACGCTGGTATTCTGTGACAGCGTGGTCCTACCGGGGTAGCCGACCCATTCGTGCTACAACTATACTACTAATATAGCTGCAGCATGGTTCTACCACGTATAAAATTCCTGCCAGAAACAACATTGACGCAAAAATACAAATTGTTCGTCATCCAATTTGATTGCGTTGCCATCTTATCGGGTACACTGTACATCGGATATCAGTGGATTATATGAATTACGTGACTCATGGCCTTATGTAATCGTTTATTATCTATATATTCCTATTGTCACTAGGTCAAGACAAGCCATCTTAGCAGTTTTCGTTTCCCACAGACGCCTCTTTCGACACCTACGGGACGAAAAGCCGCCACTTCATGCAGGGTAAGCTATGCCCTATGAAAAAAATAATTAACCCACGTTTTCTTTTCGTTAGTGATAAACTTTAATTATCAAATAAAAATTCAATAAGAAGCTAATTAATATGTTATTAAATATCTCATTATTCATACTCGACTATTTCGACGTCTTCCTCATCTTCTTTTTTCTTATAAGCGTCAGATTTTCGTGCTGCAACGGCTTGTTTATAGTGTTCCAATGCTTCGAGCAAAGGTTCTACAAACTTGTCGAATTCAATGTCTTTTATAGATTCTAAAACATCTTGTCCCTTATTGCTTTTCTTTTATTATTTTTTACAATGTTTGTAGCTGCTGCAGTTACACATAAGACAAAAACTGAAGCAGCTTTTGCTAAACCGGTACGTGCTTCTTTGGAAATAGCAACATCCTCTGGAAGTGATTCTTCCACAATTCATGTAACAACAGTCATGGGCAAATTTAGTTTTTCAAGTTTTGCAGCCATTATTACGTACTTTAGATATATACTTTAACTAACTATGATGGCGCTGTCGTCGCGCCACAAGCGAAACACATCGAAGCCTAAATCGCGTTAACAAAGTTCCGAAATTAAAGCAGTATATATTGGTCGCTCCTCGGGCAGAACACCTTGCACCGGCAAGTTCGCTTGTGGCGCGACGACAGCGCCGCCACAAGTATATTACGACTGGTGTCATATTGGTGTACGCACTTGGTGTGTTCCGGCCCCAATAATCTATAAAGAGTAATAATGAAAATTAAAAAAAAAATATAGAGTTAAGCACGTCGTTTTACATTTTATGGAGGTGTGTATATTGTGTAAAAATTAATGCAAATTTGACAAATAAGACAGTTAAACTTTCGTCTGTGATCTTTATTTTGATAAGTTTTATAGCGAGGTATTATTATAATCTGAGAGTTATATCATACCTGAGATCATAACGACCAAATTACTTCTATCGCGGAAGAATCGCACACGCACACGCCCACGCACACGCCCACGCATACGCACACGCTCACGCTAACGCACACGCACACGCTGATGCAGACGCATGCACACACACACACACACACACACGCGCGCGCGCGCTCACACACACGCACAACAAGTATGTGCACACTAGTACGCAGCAGTGATAACTACTCCAATTATTGGCCTGCAAACTTATTTACTTTTAATAGATGTATTTCATAGGAGGCGACAGAGGAAAACAAACC